GTCTCACTGCATACAGTGTTATGATCGTCCCTCCAACATCTTAAATCTGACCCTTCCAATATCAGCTATCTTATAGGGTGTGCTTTCGAAATTTCTTCATATATTGAAAATAAATTCCGATTGGGATGCATATGGAAAGTACAAATTGTATCAAGAATCCAATCCGCATCAGGTTTGGAATCATCATCAGAAATAATCAAAAGTTCTCCATCACTCCAACAGTTCTCTAGAATATCTGCTTTCGTCTGAAGTATCTAGTTGCTTTTCCTTCTGATTTGTAGCCAATTTTTCTTTATTCTACAACTTGTAGCAATCCTCTTAATGTGTCACTTCTTCTTGCAGTGGTTACAAACTTTACTACTATAATTAGATTTCGAACTACCCCTCTCATAACCACCGTGAACAATAAGGCATTCTCCTTAAGTATCAGACCCAACAAGATATTTCATCTTTTCTTTTAAAAATAAAGTATCATAAACTTCCTCAACGGTGAGAGTATGACAACTATATAATATCGCGTCTCTAAACGACATATATGAAGTGAGCAACGAATGCAATAAAATTAAACCAAAATCCTCTTCATCATACTTAACCTCAAATGTTTCCAAATTAACGATAATTTTTTTAAAGACAATAATGTAATTTTCTAGAGATGTACCTTCTGGCATAAGGTAAGAATACAAACATTGATTCGGGTGCAATTTGCTAGTTAAACTCTTAAATCATGTACAGTTGCTTAAACTTCAACCATAATGCAGCTGTAATTTTCTCTTTCAAAATGTTTTGGAAAAAATGACTTGAAGGGTGAACATGAATTTGACAAAGGGCCTTTCGATCCTTGCATTTTTTTTTTCCTCCAATAACCAATTTGAGGGTATCTTGTCAAATCCGCATTTTCACATGGTACAACGAAAATATAGTGTTGCGACCCAAAAACATAAAGTCAAATTTCATGATTGCTGTAAAAAGCAAAATCTCGAACAAATCAAACCTTAAGCTATGACACACTTGTTAGAATCTGAACAAGAATTATATATGTTGATATCATTTGTTAGAAAATGAGATTATGAGCTTGTTTGGGAAGGATTAAAATCGGATTAAAATTGAAAAATTAACCGTTATTGTTGACTTTTATTAGACGGATGAGACCCAATAACGGCTATATTTTCAATTTTAATTGGATTAAAATCATTCACAATCAAGCCCTATATGACATAATCTGAAGTAACAATCACAACACAAGAACAATTAGTTGAGGAATGAAGAATGGAGAAAAAATACGAAATATTGTGTTTCTAACTTTAGTTTAACTTATACAAAGTCATATGAAAGCCAAAAGTCACCTTGATTATATATAGGATTCAAAAGAATATGTTATAGTTGCAAAGAGAATAAAAAACTGTATCAAAAGAAGAAAACATATTTTTCTAGGGTATATACAGGATTCAAGCGGCAGGAAAGCGATGCTCGAGCGTTAAGCAAGTGGTAGATGAACAACATCGATAGCACTTCCAATGGCGCACAGGCATTGAGTTTCAGTTTAAATTGATTCTAAAAGTCCAATTGCCGCCCCCAAAACTTCCCATACCTTTTTCAACCAATCCACGAACATCCAATGAAATTTGGGTCAAAAAATAACAAATACTCAAGTAAATTTATACATGTAAATAAGCAAGTGTTAAAATAAATAATTTTTTACTAATTTAAGTTACAAATAAGTTCCTTAGCAATTGATCCCTAAGTTGCTTCCCCTTGCTATGCCCTTTTTCAAAGATTAAAAACACTAAGAGT